CCCCCCCCCCCTTATGAAGGCAGATCTAGCTACTACTAGGGCAGTCAGTGTATGTCTTACCTGCCTGCAAAAAAGATTTCACATGCTATCTACCCTCAAGGAGACCAACCAGCACCATGAAGACAAGTTTGGTACATCAGACCCTATCCTGGAAAGGGCAACAATTCATTATGACTAGGATTGATACACATTTCTGCTATGATTTGCTTTTCCTTCTACACAGGGCCACAGCCAGCACCACCATTCAAGAGTTCACGGTGTGTCTGATCTACCTACATAGGACCCCCTGCCTCTATAACATTACCCCAAGTCAAGGGAACCACTTCAGGTCAAAGAAGGTGCATCCATTGGCATATGAAGGCCATGGAAGGCCACTGATCCTACTTCATAACTACCATCAAGAATCTGTCTGCGTGACAGAGCAACGAAACAACATCTTGAAGGCTCAGGGGCGATGCCAGCTCGGAGATGACATCCTGATACTATGGGTGCTATCCTTCAGGATTCATTATACACCTAAAAAAAAAGGTAGGATTAAGGATCACTATCGCTCCCAGTAACTCACTTAGGGATTTGCGCTTTCTGTCTTCACAATGTTAGGCTCTATGGATCTAGAGATCCTGGTTCCCAGAGAGAAAAATGCTTCTACCAGGGCACAGTGAATACCTTAATACACTTAAGTCTATGACTGCTGCCTGGTCACTTTGGGCTCCTCTTGTTAGGAGACCGGGAGGCAAAGAAAGGAATTACTATACTGGCAGGAGTACTCGGCCCTGATCACATGAGGAGGGCTACTCATACATGATGAGCACAGGAAAAATATATTTGGTATTGAGGTGATCTACTGGGGCACTTTTTGACACCCCCATGCTTTAATTGTAAATGTACAAGTGTAGCTACTATGGCCTGTTATAGACATGCTAGCTGGTAGGGATGAGGGCCTGGCTTATCACATCAGAAAAGATAGGTGGAAGGGAGGGGACTCGACAATGGGTAGAAGTGGGAATTGATGAATACCAGCTATAGCGTTACAATCAGCTGCATTAGCAGATGCAGTAATTTGCCCCACTAACCTTCTTCTTGTGAATTTTCCCAGAAATTCTGACCAACTGGAATTCTGGAAAAGCTGTATTTGGATGAAATAAACTTAATGTGAAAAACAAGTGGATCTATTAGATTATTTAGGTGCCCTCTATTAGATTATTTAGGTGCCCTCTATTAGATTATTTAGGTGCCCTCTATTAGATTATTTAGGTCCCCCACCTAGATTTCCTTTAATAAGCAGGTGGACCATTCTTCCAGCTCTTTTAAGTGTTGCTTTTGAAAGTTTCACAAATGCCCCCTTTCTCTGTAGAATTGCCCCCAGGCAACAGGAAATTGCCTTACCCAGGAGATTACACCTCTTTCTTTGAGTAGCTTTCTGGCAATGACTATCTAATACGGGAATGCAAAAAGCTAGCGCCCTAACTTTAATGTGGGACCACCTCTGTAGTGCAATTCATGAATCCATGAATTCCTCTGAGATCATATTGCAGCTAGGCTTAGCTGAATCGCATCCTTCTTTAGTTCCTTGCCCTGATCTACTCTCATTTCTACATTACTTTCTCCTGACAGTATTTCATCAATAAATAACATGCACCTGGAATTTCTGTCTCGGGCTCTGCTTCTAGAGAACTCTAAGGCACTTACTGTACTTTTAAAATCTTTAAAACTTTTATTATAATATTCTCAAAATTAGACAATATCTTGAGAAATGATTACTACAATTACGTTAAATCTGTTAACATTTTCTGCCTAGTAGATGTGACCTATATAAGGATCCAAAATTACATTGATTGGGGTTGTTTCAAATTAATGTCTTCTCTGAAACGTATACTAATGTTCAAAATGAGAACCAGAGAGTGTGTCCTATGAGAAAAATTCTTCTCAGGTAGAAAATCTAAAGAGAAAAGAAAAGAAAAAAAAAAAAACCCTGGCTTTTATTGGAGCAGTTAGATGAATAAGCAAAAGTAATCTGCTATATATATTGCTAGTAAGAGGCAGATATAGGGTTGTAGCCCTAGTGATAAATTCTAGTGCATTTTTTATTTTTGCACCTCACTTTGCTGCTAGTGATGTACCTATTAATGGAAATAAAGAGCCATGAGGTTGCTACCAACCTGATGCCTTTGCTATTACTAGAGGAGAGAGCCTTAAAGATAAGGGGGAAAAAATTTACCAGCCATTCAATGCTACAGAATAATGTTATTGTGTTTCAGAGTATTTCTAATCCATCATTCTACAAATTCTAGAGAACCAACATGCATAAGTAAAGTGATCCACAAAGAAAACCTGGGGGTAACAATTTGTATTCCATTACACTTTAAAGTCTCTGTGAACAGGAAGCCAGTGGAGAATCAGATTATCTTCTAGACCTAGAGTCATGTAGAGATGTGTGAGAAATTAACTGTTCACTAAATCTCCAAATCCTTTTCTCGTCCTAAACTCACTGAGAAGAAATAGAAAGGTTAAGAGCTTCAGGCCTCAGATAGTCAGCAATTTATCTTGAATTGAATATTATCTGAATTATCATTTTTTGTCTTCCTTTAA